ATGATCCCGCCGACCACGAGTGCTGTTTTACATTGGATGTGACGCTGATTTGCGACAACCAAAGGTGCCGATAGGTGTGGTGTGGGTTAAACGGTTTGCCTCCGGTAGTGATGGTGGTTTCAATATTCCCGTTTCACCAGTACTCGGTGGTGGTGTGACATGGCTCACGTTATTATCAGGGTTCACGCCTAGTTTCGGAGTTTACGATCATGATTTCGTTGTTGTAACCTACCACTTTGTTCACCCTAGGTTTCGTGTGGCTGAGAGCCATGTACAAACCTATGCCGAAAACGTAGTCTACTAGACCTGGCATTCTCCAAAACTCTCTTTGTATCGCCATATGGCCGTCGGTAAATCTACCGGAGATGGAATAGTATCCTCAACGTTCACCACAAAGCCGTTCCCCGACTTATACTACCTGAACACATTTGCACCTGCATGCCCAGCACAACCCACAGTTCATTCAGTCTTATGACACCCGCGCGAGAAAACCCTTTTGGCGTATCCAAAGGGTCCCTGCTGAAACCTCCAAACGCGGTAATCCTTCCTATCATCAAAAGCCATAAGATCATCCCTCCACTCATTTGTCATGACGTAAGATTCCGAATACGTCTTATCACCCCATTGTTTTATCCTCATGCCGGCTTCTACGAGAGACATTCAAAAAACGTTATTCACACCCGGCAAACGAATAATGAATGGTGAGCCCATTTCACTGCTTTATGCTATCGATAACATGTCGGGACAACTCGAAGTAGCTGTCCGCGATCTCACTTATTACCTGCGGTGTAAAAACATCAGTAATGGGAGTGCCACATTTTTTTCCAACGGTTATTATAGCTGAACGACGAAACTTTTAATCCTCAAGGAGCAAGCCTCAGGCTGAACGCGTCGGATGGAAAGCTGACATTAACCAGTGAAGAACCCTTAAGACTCGGCAGGCCCTTAGCGAAAACACTCGGGTTACAGACGAATGAATTACAACCCCATACCTATGACTGGTTCCAAATTACCTGATATAGGTTCCTATCGAGGGTTGTGTATCCATCTTGATCAGATAAGCATGACCAGTAATATCTAAGGTGAACGTCATTCCACTCTGTTGAGAGCTGTTGCAGTGAAAATTGAAATGTACAAGAGCAGTAGAACAGAATCTTTCCGGTTATTACAGTATAAAAAGTTAAAGCAGGGTATGATCCTGTAACTCAAAGTGTCCGTTTTAGATATAGAACACCAACCCGTACATATAGGCTATTAAGAACAACAATGAACGCTTTAGGGCCTGGAATGCATCTGTAAGAACATGCGCCACCATAGCACTCTCTGATCTTGGGGACACGCAAGGATTCGATGAAACCAGTGTCAAAGGTAAGTTATGCCTTACAGTTAAAAAACAACATTTGCAAGCGAAAAGAAGTGACAGCCAGGTTGTAACCTACGAGATTTAGACTGGGGATTCATAAACAACACTTAGTACAATCTCGCCTGTAATGACAATGATAAATGGGTGATGGTCGCAGCATTCGACGATGGTGTAGGCGATTTAAACGATGTCAAGGCAGGCGTTATCTAAAAAAAAACACCTCATACAATCTCATCTGTATGGACGATAACCAATGAACGATGATCTGGTCCCAAATTGGCTGGCTGCTCGATATGAACATCGTTTCTCCATACGTGTTTATGGAGAATAAGGATTATTACATCACGAAAGTCGTCAATAATGGGATTGGGCTGGGAGCTTACGTCCACTCGCAAAAAGAAGGAGTGTACTCTTGACCATCATCCAGAGAAAACCAGGTCACATGCTGTCGACTAAACCAGCCCTCCCATATACGAGTTTGCAGTTGGTGACCGAATTCGAAAAAGCATTGACTGCAGTACAAGAGATTCCAACCAAATATGATGCACTAACTTTTTTGTATATCAAAGTCTTTCTTGGAGAGCCACCACCTGATGTTGAAATCGTGATGGAAGTCAAAATCTGTTGGAGACAAAACATCAATATCATGTTGCGATATTTACATACAATGACTTACGCGAGCGCCAAAGGGGTCACCCTGAAGAGAAATTATGCTCACCAAAATCTTCTTACTCACAAATAAACATCTCATCAGCTTAAAGGATGAGCTATCACAATGGGTGACATTTCAGGCAAGCATTGCATCACAAAATGCGCTACCATCATGCTCTCCGATCTTGGAAACACATGAGGATTCGATAAACCCGGTACCAAAGACACGTTGTATGCATTGCAGTTAAAAAACAACTTGTACAAATGACAAGAAATGAAACTGCAGAATTTAAATGAGGTCGAGAACGAGGGAGCCTTACCCAAAATAGTATTAAAAATGGTTATGTCAGCTAAGTAAAAAATAACGGGATATTTCTCACGTCTTTTACTCCGAAATGTGATAATTCGATACAAGTTTTGTGAAAACCGGGTCATACAGGCAATATGTTAGCACCCACCGACCTGGATTGCGATGTACTTGATTACCAATTGTATTTTGAACAGTCCTGATTTAACTATTAAATGACACATGACACTCACAATAGAAGTTTATCTTGTAGATCCTCCGAGGAAGCTCTGTTACTTTTATTTGGGTTAGCAATATGCTGGGGTAATGGAAATAAACATCATCCCCTTTACACCTCCATACTATTTGTATGTACAAATGTCTAAACTTTGGATGGGATTGTATCTGGCCATGAACGAAGTGGTCAAAACACTGGAAACTGTGGACAGATTTAGTTTGCGACAAAACGACATCAAATGACAAATGGAAATGGAATGTAATACACATTGCACACAAAATACCACAGAGCAGTCGATAGCATTGATGGCGTGAACACGATGCTCGTAGCAGTCAGCATGGAGCTAGACGCGAGTGGAGTGGTTATTGTCCACCAGGCACCCGTGAAGATCCACCTCCTCGTGGTGGGTGCTGGGTAATGCTGAGCACTCTTCAATCCCCGTTGTGGACCCGGAGGTATATTTGGTCCACCAACCCATTTGCCGTGGGTTGCGCCCCTGTGTCGGTGGAGGATGGGAGTCTGGTGGTTGAGGGCACTGGTTCCAGGAACAGTGTTCCTTTGCCCAACACACCACTTCGCCCCTTACTTCACCTAGATGGGTGGTTGAATGGGCCCTGTTCAACCAATCGGCTGGTCATGCCAGGCCCTGTGCATAGATTTTATTTGATATAAAATTGTTAAAATTTTGGTCTTGGCACCCTTTGTTCATGTAAGATCATTTGATTTTTGTAAAAAGTTTATCGCAAACTTTGCCTAGAGACTTATGCCAGAAGGTAGAAGAATTAATCTTTTAGTCTTTCTCCTGGAGTATATCATCCGAGTATTCTTGGTGCTGCAAGTCGGAGATCCGCTTGTGTCTAGCATTGTCCTTGTGATACTCCGTGGAGGGTGGGGAGCTCAGATGATGAACCATTAAAAACTAACCATGGCATACGAAACCCCCTTAAAAAAACAAAACGTCCACTTGACACTGATCCAGATGTTAACGTCCATTGATTAGTGGCCACGCTTCTTTGTGATGGAGACACAAGATAACACCAGATTGAAGTTAAATCCTTTTGCTGTACACAAAGGCATACAAGGCATAGCTGGTGATGTAAAAAGCATCAAACGTTTACGTTCAGGGGCACTGTTTATTGAGTGCAGCAAAAGGCAACAGGCAACTAACCTGATGAGTACTGAAACGTTTGTCGGCATTCCGGTTTCGATCTCTCCTCGCAGAACACTTAATACCAGCATAGGAATTGTAAGAGACTGAGATCGATTGTTCACCAACATGTCTGAACTTGATATTGTTTCAGAAATGAAAGATCAAGGGGTCTTATATGTAAAGCGTTTTACAACACATAAAAAACAGGAAACCATTTCAACAAACACGTATCTGTTTTCATTTTCTTCTCCAACTGCTCCAACTGCTCCAAGATCACTAAAGGCAGGGTACTGTAACATTAATGTCGACACCTACATACCAAACGCACTGAGAGGTTTTAAATGCCAAAAGTTTGGTCATGGTGTTAGTACTTGCACATTGTCTGTTGTGTGTGCTCACTGTAGTGAGAAGTGACACATACAACAGAAGATTGTGTCAGTAACTTTAAGAAGTGTACCAATTGTGCAGGTGATCACTCATCATTTTCAAAAGACTGTCCCATTTGGAAACAGCAGATGGAGATAAATAAGATCAAGTTTACTCAAAATATCAGTTCTTCTGATGCCAAAAAGCTTGTCTTGAGATCGGAAATTAAGGAAACTTATGCTTCCAAAGCCAAAACATCTTCAGAAACAACACCAAGAATAACTAAATCAGTATAAACACGAATTTAGTCATTTAAGTAATAAATATAATACATATAAATCCTTATTTACAGATGGATCCAAGGATGCTGGCGCGGGGGCTTATGCCACTGTCATTGGATCCAGAACACTATCTTCTTGACAACCAAATAATAGCTCTATTTTCACAGCAGAAGCTAACGCCAAATTAACAGCTCTTAAATATATAATGGTCATATTTTGCAGTGACTGCAACGTAAAGCAGAGATTCGCGTTCTGGCCGAGGAAAGTTAAATACTATTGAGGATCATATCTCCACAGCCTTATCCAATAGTAAGGTATCTAGGAAAAAGTTTAGGCTAGTGCTGTCTGAACTCGATAATTCCATAGGAGGAAACAAGAGATAAGAACCAAGTCTCGTAAGACAAGTGATATCAGCAAAAAGCAGAAAAAAACCCCTCATAGAGCGACAAAAAGCCCGGCAAGAAAAAGGCATAAATGTAAAAAAATATCCGGGGACATCAAACGATCGTCGACGCAGTTTTCCATATTTTCCAACCATCGGTGGGGCGTTATTTGACGTAAATAATGCCATAGGAGGAAGTGATGCCGTACCACCATCACATATACTACTATATACAAAGAAAAACATCACCCGCAATAAAAGTTGTCATCGTCACGTGTTACAGCTGAGAGACTACACGACTTCACATTGGAGGTCTTTCGAAAGAACCCGGCCACCTCAACAGGCGCTAGGAGTGCGCTGTGTGGAACCTACAATGGTACGGTCACAGAACCAGGAAAGACTGTCAGTGTAGAATGCATCAGATCTGTTAGAGGGCGATATGTCCGACTGAGGGGGACAAAGGACGGTGAAGGTGACCTCCTTCAATTCTGTGAGGTCAAAGTTTTCGGATCCATTATTGCTGATGGTAAGAAGAGCTTTAACTTATGAGGCAAACTGTCGTTTATGTTCACGTGGACGTTCTATAGCTCTGCGAAAACAGAGATATCAAACACTGGTTACAAGTGCATTTGTTTGCCATGTATGTATATAATGGCAACCCAAGACAATAATCAGTCTCTATAATATGCCACAAGAGATCACACGTGGCGATAAAGAGACAAGTTAGATGTGTCAATTACATGAATGAATCACTGAAAATGAGCGATGACATCTGGTAGGCATGTGTAAGCTCAGTCAGTAATACTTGCCACTCAGACATACACTTGACCATGAAGATTCACACACTGCCCCTTCAAAAGATGTCTTCTTATTTACCTACAAGAGAGTTAACGATGTCGTTTTGTGATATTTTATATTTGGTACACAATGCAGGCGAGTCTAACCTGGCTAGAGGCAAGCCAGCAACAGCGAGCTCTGTGTATGGGCCACATCCTGAAGTTGCTACAGACGGCCTCCCTTACACTGACTGGAAACGTGGCAGTTGTTTTACTGTGGCAGAAGGAGACGATCATCCCTGGTGGCAAGTCGATCTTGAAGCTTATTCTGAGGTGTTTGAGGTTGCCGTGACAAGCAGGGGTGACTGTTGTCGTGAGTATAATGTTACAGTTCAGTAACGATGTGCATTAAACTATACTCAATCAAGTAAAACCTCGACACCTGTTAACTGAATCCTACAATAGAAGTAGGTGAGTATAATTACTGTCCATGGGGATGCATACTTCCTGTCTGAATGTTCTACCCAAACACTATATGTGAGTTTTATCCAAAAGGACGTCCAACATTTTATTTATTGTTTTCTCAGTGCCATTCAGATGACAGCTGTTTTCCTTTATATACAAAGTTCCTGAACCTTTAAAGATAGATATGTAATTTGTTGTGTGTTCAGCGTGTCTATTAAGAAATATCGCATGGATCAAGAAATAAAGTGTTTACTTAAGTTTGCCCTGGAATGGTTGTGTACAGCTTTGAAGAATCAAATATTGTGATATCACTGATCCCGGCATGCTGCTAAAATCGTAACATCTAAAGCCAATTTTTCACATGCAGTTCAATACTATCTACCACTATAACGAACGTCCTTCCTTGATAAGAACCATGGAATCCAGTACGAAAACGGGATGAACATGTTTTCAAGTTTTTGACTCAAGCCAAAAGATGATAGCCCTGATGAAGGTGGGTTGGGCAGATTTCATCCCCAGTTAACATGCAAGCAAACAATTTGTGTAATGATGTTTAAATATAATAGTTATGTAATTTCAGACTTTGTCGGGGGAAATAATTATAACCTTTCATGCAGAGCAGCTGGACTTTTAGTGACAGCTGGCAAGGACCAAATGAGATTCTTCCAATTCTGCTCGTGTCATAAAATACGATTTCGTCACGTGTTACAGCTGAGAGACTACACGACTTCACATTGGAGGTCTTTCGAAAGAACCCGGCCACCTCAACAGGCGCTAGGAGTGCGCTGTGTGGAACCTACAATGGTACAGTCACAGAACCAGGAAAGACTGTCAGTGTAGAATGCATCAGATCTGTTAGAGGGCGATATGTCCGACTGAGGGGGACAAAGGACGGTGAAGGTGACCTCCTTCAATTCTGTGAGGTCAAAGTTTTCGGATCCATTATTGCTGATGGTAAGAAGAGCTTTAACTTATGAGGCAAACTGTCGTTTATGTTCACGTGGACGTTCTATAGCTCTGCGAAAACAGAGATATCAAACACTGGTTACAAGTACATTTGTTTGCCATGTATGTATATAATGGCAACCCAAGACAATAATCAGTCTCTATAATATGCCACAAGAGATCACACGTGTTGTTAAAGAGACAAGTTAGATGTGTCAATTACATGAATGAATCACTGAAAATGAGCGATGACATCTGGTAGGCATGTGTAAGCTCAGTCAGTAATACTTGCCACTCAGACATACACTTGACCATGAAGATTCACACACTGCCCCTTCAAAAGATGTCTTCTTATTTACCTACAAGAGAGTTAACGATGTTGTTTTGTGATATTTTATATTTGGTACACAATGCAGGCGAGTCTAACCTGGCTAGAGGCAAGCCAGCAACAGCGAGCTCTGTGTATGGGCCACTGCCTAGAGTTGCTACAGACGGTCTCCCCAACACTGATTGGGGATCTGGCAGTTGTTTTGCTGTGGCAGAAGGAGACGATTATCCCTGGTGGCAAGTCGATCTTGAAGCTTATTCTGAGGTGTTTGAGGTTGCCGTGACAAGCAGGGGTGACTGTTGTCGTGAGTATAATGTTACGTCATACTCAACTAATCTAAAACCTCGACACCTTGAAATTGTGTGCATTAGTATGTAAATAGATGTGTATCATACTTCTCAACTCTGGCGTTCCTAACAAATTGTGCGTCAGAACTGCAGTATTGGACGTAGCGTTGTGATGTTGAAATGTCAGCCCAGTACCATGTAGCTTCTGGAATGGCTGAGGAACAGGTACTCGGGTCATCAGACTGTGTATTTACTGAAGATTACTGGCCATGTTCACCCTGCATGTTGGTGTAGTGTTTATGGCACATCATGAAACTAACAGTGTTATACCCTCGTAATTATTGCCAATAATGTTGTTGATTATATAGATCTACTTTCATTAGTTCACTGAGCAATCTGTAAATGCCATGATCTTAGTAAATTCCCCTGTGTCTGTCATGTACTTCCATTCCAAATGCCCACAAAGTATTTCATGGCTCCTTAAAGGAGACATGCAGTGCCACTAAACTGACATGTCTTAGTTCAACGAATGTGACAATATTTGAAATCGTCCTTTGCTACAGCTGAGAGACTACACAACTTCACACTGGAGGTCTTCACCAAACCAGGCGCCAGGGGGTGCACTGTGTGGATCCTACCATGGTGCGGTCGCAGAACCAGGAAAGACTGTCACTGTAAAATGTACCCGAGCTGTTCAAGGGCGGTATGTCCGATTGAGTGGAAAAAAGAACGGTGAGGGTGACCTCCTTGAGTTTTGTGAGGTCAAGGTGTTCGGTTATGCGTTTTAATCAAGGCTTATAAAAGCATGCGGACATATAGTGTTTTGTTGTATATGTTCTAGGGTTCTACTCTCCACGATGATGGTAGTAATGGTATCCCAATTATCCAGCTACAAGATGAGGTGAAAAGGGGTTTAGCGTTGTACTAGCCCAGACTTAAAGGTCACATGCAACAAAAAAAAATCAAACATAATTAAAACACAAGTATCACTTATTCATGACATATAATATACATTGCTGATTATAAAACAACATATCAACAAAATTATAAGCGTACAATCGCAAATCAAAAGTGCAATATTTTGTACTTGGGTTTACTTCCCTCGAAACGAAGCACCCGGGATACCGAACCCAGTCAGAGCGGATGGGTGCCGATGACTTCACGGCTCATTGTGTGTGTGTATATAGAGATGTTGGGTTTTGTAAATGCATGCTCATTTTTTGTGTATAACCTTTTGCAATCAACAGACATCATAACATGTCATGTGTACAAGTATCACACCTGTCTGTCTGTGTAATTACATAATGTGACTGAAACCGAACTAGGGCCATAAATCAATGCATTTTGTTTATGGTGTATAGCCTGATAGGTGTTAAGTTCAAATTGCATGTGGTCAGTGATCGAAGTTGTGTATTGAATATCGCCATGAGCAGAGAGGCAGGCAAACACATAGGTGTCAATAAAACAGACATTGAGTTTTGTCTGTGACGACGACATGTCTATATCACAGTTAGAAATTCTGTCAACGCTAAATAATGACATTGCTTTTAAGTATCGAACTGAGAAAATGACTCGGTAAGAAGTACGTGCGGTGAAATAGTCAAATGAAATTATATAAACAGTTAAATCGGTAATCTACTGTCATAACATATAAAAAGCTGGCGTCTGAGAAATAACTTATGAAAAGCCCGCGCCTGGGAAATATAAATAAAAACATTAGAAACAATAGCTCACACCAAAGTCTCCCGACTCCGAGTACTCACCGCCAGGAAAGGTTTTTCGTCTTGAAATGTCGAATGCCTCACTGGTTGACACATAGCTGAGTAGATCTAGATCCTTACAAGGTTCTTTTATGTAACGAGTAGATTATTTACTATTTATTTGTGTAACCAGGATTAGACTACTCCTGCTCACGATCTTATAATCCGGGCATGAATCCTGTTTCAAGCTTGGCGAACCTATTCAATGCACATGCGTTAGGAGCGCAGCGCAGCATAGCTGTTGAAACAACTTTTTACCCCAAGCGCTGGGGGAAAATTAGTGAATCGTTTGAACTCTGATTTTGCGCGGGCTTTTTCATCGCGTTATTTTTCAGCTTTATAAGTTGAATTTGCATTTTTTGATGATTTGTTTCGCTAAGTCCATACCGAAAGTTGTGTTTTACGTTGCATGTGACCTTTGAGCTGATTTTATAGTTCTAGCTCACTGAACTACCATGCCGCGGTTAAGCATGAATACCCCACTCAGACACATTATACTGACTCCGAGCCGATCAGTCTTTGTTATAACCATAAGTGCCGAGCGCCAGACAGGGACCAAAAAGTACCATATTTAAAGGTCTTTTGGAATGACGCAGTCGGGGATCGAACCCGCGACTTTCCTCTCTCCGGTCACCTATATTCCGATTATGTTACCCCACGAGGCAAAGTGAAGAAAATGCAGAGGTTGTTGAAAGACCGTTTTATGTCTTCATTTCTTTCCAAAATTTACATAATGGTGAAAGACCAATAAGTTATGTGTTACAAGTCTTACGTAAAAGTTAAAGAATTATTTTCACTTATTAGGTTTCGCGTGTTTACTATTGGTCAAGTTAGTTAATAAATTGTAATTCCGTGTGTGAAATTATCGAAACCAACCCAGTCAAATGGCTAACCAAATGAATATATTATCGGGTAAAACATTACTTTAGACATTATCTGTGCCCTGTACGTAAATTGTAAATCATTATCATTAGATACCCATAAATGCTATTTATTGTTCAAACGATTCGACAATTCAATAACTTCACAGACTGCTATCATTTAGCTGGAACATTCCTGAGTTTGGCATTAAAAAACAAACTAACAATTCCATGTCGATCTTCACATGTGAGATGACAGAGGCAATCGATTGCCCGTTTTTACATACAGGACACTGTCAGAATGGATTATTCCGGTTGCTATTGTAGCTTCCAGATTAACCGCATCTCCAGTCTCAACACAGTGACGAGCACCACTGACGTCTACTAGATCTCAAAATAAACAGTGTTACGACACTGTTTCACCTTTTCGCAGAAGGAACGTTTGAACGAAGACATTTTCTTTGCGAATCAAAGTTAAAAAACTGACCAATACGGTAAATAATAATAGACATTATTATTATCATGCAAATCAAATTCGCAGTGAAAACTGATCACACTCAACCAAATCTTGATTATGCACCGGCGATAATGTTGTCTTTGCCTTCAACATGCTTGAAGTTTAAATGCAGTTTCAGCACAGAATTGTAGTTTTCTTTTTCATTTAATGAAGAAAAGCCTTGGTTAGGAATTAAAGCAGTCACAAAGAACAATTTAAATTGTTGTAATGCTGAGACTAATAGACCAAGAGTTTCTCTCTAAAAGGTGAAATAATGTCTATGAGAATATGTTCAAAATTTCATGAATAATAACTAACAGGATGTACAAAGCCTGATGCATCGTCTTACAACAGGGAAGCACCCGCTCCAACGTCACCAGCACCTAGCGAAAATCTGAAGGTTTTTTCAAATTTTGATGCTTGGAGAAAAAGGACATTCATGAGAATGGATGAACCTTTCACAAAGGTAGTCTGACAAATGGTGTTCCAAACAATTCTTATTCTAATGTCAAGGATATTGAACATTTTGACAACCTGTTCGGTAGTAACCAATCTCATTAGTTTCTTTATATTGGAATTTTGAAATAGTTTCCACTTGTGGGTTAGATCGATAACGTGCGTGCTGTTGATTAGGTGATTCTGAGCGTGTGGGTACGAATCCCGGAAGGGACTCAACGTAACAAAAGTACTAGAATCTGTACTTCAGGTGTCAAGGGTAACTGGTACAACTCCAATTTCATTTCTTGACCAAAATGCTGAAGGCAACCGATTCTCATCACGTTTCGACAGCTCGTTTAGGGCACACTGGTCATATATACTAGCCACATACAGAAACTGTGCACACAGAAAATGCCTTCAGAATTGGAATACAACACAGCAAAGACGAAATGATGTAGACACTTTATAAGCTGAAGTATCGGACCACAAGAAATTGTCAAAAGAACATGAACAATATCCGTAACGATGACGTCAGAAGTTCAAATCGAGTAGGGGGTCACATGACGAAGTCACAAAATCAATAACGGGTATGACCACCATGTGCGTGAAGCACAGCAGTGCAACGACGACGCATAGAGGCTACCAAATGAGCATTGGAGGCCTGGGAAATGGTCTGGGGCGTGGTCACTGCTGTCTGGAACCTGTATCTGAGATGAGTCACCCGAATCCACCTGTCCTGTCTTGGCGTCGTTACGTCGGGAACGCCCAGAACGTGGGTGGTCGGCGACGTCATTACTGTTTCGATAACGCGTGACCCATGCAGATATGGTGTTACGATGGCATTGGAAATGTGCTGCCACCTGTTGTTGGCTCATGCCTGCTCGAACCATTCCAATGGCTTCATGACGTTGAGCAGATGTTAATCTTGGCATGATGTGCATGTGACTTCTCATGTGGATTTGTGAACGTTTAAATGACCAAAGATCAAGCTTTCGACAGTGACAGCAATTTCAGAGTTTCACATGTTGTGTGCAGCTGTACGGGCTGCACGTGCAGTAACACATTGCAAGGCCATACGCCACCGTCAATGACGTCACGTCGCCCGGCACGTGCATGAGCGTTTGATTGTCTCCAATACTTGCTATTTTCACAAATGTATTTATGTATTTACGTACCAGGCAGCAGCTGGTTATGGTAGAAGTGTGTATAAAAATTCCTTTAAAATTCCTTTTGCAGCCAGAGTGGTGGGAAAGAGACTAATACCGATCATAAAGGGTTATGGGATTTTGGGACATATTTGTGAGGTTTTAGAGGATTGAGAGTACTGTTTAAAGGGTCATTTTCTTTGGAAATGATATTGATAGACGCTAGAAATTATCCTAAGTCATTCTGGAGAATTGTGGGGCAACAGTCCGGATGCAGATCTAACACTAAGTCCGGTCAAACATGCGGTCATAATTGAGGACGATGGAAGTATAGCAGATCCGGTATTCATATTCTCAGTTGAGAATGATTTTCCAAATATTCTCAACAGTTCAAATAACAAATTGAGTAAAAAATATATCACCTGTTTCAGATGGTATTGTTGCTGAAACTAATAGATTATGTCTACCACCAAGGTTTAAAGCTTTGTCTTAGATCCTTTAGAACTTCTGTTGATAAAATTCTTCAAAGGCCTTTACCTGAAGAAGGGGCAAGAACTAGCCCAGAAACGTTGTGAAAAGTAAACCAAGAAGTTGTTATCCATAAGATTTGTCTTGTATTCTGTTTGTAGTTTCCAAATACTTTGCTCAGTTCTTAACAAGTCTATACTCAATTAAAATTCAACTTCAAAGTCACATGTCATGCACTTCTCCAACAAAAAATGCCAATACCCTCAACACAATGGGAACCGATGACATGTAAGCCGCCTAATCCACTCAGCCACCGAGACTTCCACAAAATGTAAGTCGGACAACTGGTAGTCTAGACGGCGGACTTTGTGTACCCCTCTGATAAATGTAAATTGGCACCGTTCCCACGGCCGAAAACTATGATTACACAATGTCATTTAGAAAGTGGTCAAATGTAACTTATGTTATATTTGGGATTACACTTTCTTAGTAAAGTACAGTTTCTAAGTACCTTTGTTGGGTTGAGTACCACCTGGGATTCGAACTCACACCCTCAGAATCAGGCATCTAATCGCCAACACACAAAGTCTTGTGGTGAAAGAATTACGGTCATGTCATGTCCTGCTTGACTGTGTTGATTTCTCCATCATAGAAGATAACTATTTCAAAGTTTCTTCCGTGAAGGATCTTTTTAACGTAAGTTCATTTTTAATACTTAGAGTCTTGGTTTTTAAAAAGAAATTGAATTATTGCGAAAATTTTGATTGATAATGCTGTACATAGACACATGGCATTTTATAATCGGTAGAATTAGCAACCGAGATTGTTAGTGGCTGTATTCTCGAAGGGATAAAGTATTGTAACATTATTGTCCTCCTGAGTACGTACGTAAGTCCCCCAACGTTCAAGGTCAATTTTGGTCTACCGAACTTTTAATCGTAGTATTTTTATGTTTTAAATGATGGCTAAAATTTAGTACAGTCGCCAGGGATTGAAGTGACGGTGTAAATCCAGCTAGGGTCCATGTAGATAGCAAAGCACTTCAAGTCCCCATGGTCCCAAGTATGGTGATCAACTTTCAGTTGCTGGCGATACTCAGCCCGGTTTTCTTAAATATTGTGTTGTCCTGATTGCTATCAAATTTAGAGATAAATGCCAGTTTTAATTCTTGTTTGAGTGATATTCTATTTATTTTTACTATCCATCGTCGACAGGTTTTTAAAAATTAACTCCATTTATCATGAATTTATAACTAGTTTTAGTCACGATGAGACTAAAATACTGCCGATATGACTATAAACTTAATCTCACTCACTCACTCACTCCTATATTGGGTCTGTGAGTGAGCATTGGGCAGTCTTCACTGCCGACTTCAATGCAACAAAGATCGACCCAGAGCGATATGTGAGTGAGTGAGTATGGTTTTACGCCACTTTTAGCAATATTCCCCATACTGCAGATCAAAACAACACATGTTTCCTCGAGGATCTATGTTGTGTATTATTTATTTGTTACAATACACTGAGAGTAACTTACCTCCCTTGGGTTGATACCATGTTTACAGAAACAATACCATTCTCTACAGCAGCAAGGGTAATGCCGTCAACATGATACATTGGATAACACTTGCTGCTATCTATGTGAAGTTTGGCATTATAGGAAATAGTTTGAGTTTGAGTTTAGCTTTCCACCACATTCAGCAATATTCCAGCTATATGGTGGCAATCTGTAAATAATCGAGTCTGGACCAGACAATCAAGTGATCAACAGCATAAACATCAATCTACGCAACTGGGATACGATGGCATGTGTCAACCAAGTCCGCGAGTCTGACCACCCGATCCCATCTTACGACGAGCATGGGTTACTGAAGATCACTTCTAACCCGGATCTTCACGGGTGTCTAGGAAGCAGGATGAATGATACCCTAATATATTGTTTAACGCCGGAACACTCTTGTTATTGAATATGCGAGTAGATACGTCCCCCGACTGTTACGTATTGTTACAGTCCCCGTCGTGTAGATCACGTCGTCAACTCGTGTGAAGCAAATGTCAACACAGACACACCTTGACTGGCGTATAGAAAATATTTGTGATTATTATGCAGCAACAACATATGAAATAGAAGCGGCAAAACCCTGTACACGTCCATAAGATATATCTGCTAAAAACAGAGTCGATTGTACAGTTGTGACTATATCTTGAGTATACATCTGTTTCAGCAGTATCACAGCTATAAGATGGTGCTTGTAAATAGATCGAGTCAAGACCAGACAATCCAGTGATTGTAACGTTGCGATATGATGACAGAGCATGTGTTTATGACTCACCATGAAATAGTGATGATACCAGGTGTTCGCGAAAAGGTGAGCGTATCCTGCCCCACCTGTGCCACCCGTTCATAAACATATGCTAAGTCTAGTCATTTGTTCATCTGAAATAATTCGAGTGAGTGAGTGAGTTTAGTTTTACGCCGCACTCAGTAATATTTCAGCCATATGGCGGCGGTCTGTAAATAATCGTGTCTGGGCCAGCCAAACCAGTGATCAACAGCATGAGCATCGATCTGCGCAATTGGGAACCGATGACATGCGTCAACCAAGTCAGCAAGCCAGATTACTGAAGGTACATTCTAACCCGGACCTTTACGGGTCTGAAATAATTCGAGAACGTATGGTATAAGTCAACACACGAAATTGCATCAGACATATTTTTTGTCACTGATGCATCAAATTCGGAAATTCCCTCCACATGTCTACCCTAAAACTTCTTGAATGCTTTCCTGAGGCCTTGAATATTGTAATCTTGATCAATCAACTTGTGAGCAAAAGTGGTATAACGCTCTTTGAAATCCTGATAACAAGAGCACGCTCGATTTTACCTCAAAGTTGAAAGTTGAAATCATCCCTTTTGTCATACAGCCTTGTGGAGAGATTTCATGTTCAGGTGGGTAAATCAGTGGCTGGCAATTGACTATTTCATGGTCATTGAACGATATTAGATCATCGATATACCGGAAGCTTAAGGTAAACTTCTTGGTCAAATTATCTTGTTTTGATTTTGCCAACCCAATCAGAAATTCCGAAGTATAAAGAAACAGATCCGCAAAACTCTCCGTCTGTTTGTTAAATCGAAATTCACGAGATTTACAGCCCGCTGATGTCATGTTTATAACATAACACAAATATACATCATGAAAATGTATATTTTGGTTTTTAGAATTTAAAAAAATAAATGTTTGTTTGCACGTCACTGTAACAATTCCCTGTAACAAGCATATCCCAGATAAAACCAACAGTCACCAGGTACATCGTTTACATATGACTGAATAGCCACTCTTTGTTGAACAATAAGCTTTTCTTTGTTCGTATTCATTGAAAATAGTACCTGTTGGTCTGTACAGCTGAGGGACATGTCCAGATAGCGTTGGACGGCCTGTCGATAATCTGCTATAAACAAAGGCAATGTGTCTTGAGATCCGAAGATAAACCCACCGCCAATCCACACATGGTTTCCTTTGAAGATAGTCTCAGGGGGCATGTCCATGTTCGCGTCGTAGACTTGGTTCATGGCCACGCGAGATTCGTTAAAATTTGGGGGGTTTACTATAACAAACTCTTTCCTCCGTTCAGTGATCAGTCGGAAATAACCGACATCGATCCAGGTGTAATAAGTGGTATTGAAATGATTACTTTTAACTGCTTGTTGTGTCAATTCATATTTGGCGTGTTGAGCACATGTGTATTCGGGCACGACTGTGTTCGGGTGGAACTTTGGGTATCCTGGCATTGAATAGATTTGCTTGATCTTCTCTACCCATCCGAAAGACCATAGCTTTTCTCTGTCCACCAGAACTATTTTCGTTGTACCTTCCTTACCGGCTCTCATCTGGAGAAACTGTTCAGCAATGTCTACCGAGTCTGTGTAAACGATGAAAGGATTTCGCAGATGTGTGAACACTACTGACCACGACAAGTACAATTTAGAATTAAATATCCTTCCGGTGCCTTTCTGGAATGGCCCCAGATTGAAAAAGGCGGTGACTACAGTGACGTCAGGAGGCTGCGTTCTATTGTATGTCCGGGGTTTCACCTGCGGGATCTGCATGGGGATACAGGGCGGCCTCTGAAACAGTCAGATATTAAATAGTAGACCCACACGAAATATTTACGAACAAAATTAAAAACCCATCTGAGCATATAATGAAACGCCCCAATGTTCCTACAGCTTAGGTATTGCTGTAACCTATTCCTGTAGAGTTGTATGAAGGACACAGTGTGTAACCCTCACAGTGCTGTGTGCATGCATTACCTCCAACCACGATGTTCCACCATGGACAGAACACGTGCGGGGGATGTTGTAAGTTGAATTTGATGACGTTCATCAGCTGGTGATGCATCACGTATGCAAATTCCATGATGAGAGAAGTGTTTTAAGGAAAATGTACACAGTTGAGTCGCTGTCTTCAGAATATGTACCTCACGGGGCGTGGATCCGGAATACCTGGATGATGTCTCGACACCGATCAACTTGAGTTTGGCGTGGGTATATTTGACGGTTGTCTGAAAGACAATTATAAGTACTGGGATATTAAAGTGGTTATTCGTGCCGTTAAGAAGTGCATCAGAATGGACTAGTGAACACTACAGTCTACAAGGCACCAACAATATGACACAGCTCATTCATAATCAAATAACTGCTAACTTAATGACCGAAACTAGCAGATGAGACTCTTTATTCAAGGAAGCTCGATTCTAAATACTATACAGGTCAAATGTATTCGAAAATGCGATTCACTATCTTTTCAATTGTGAAGCTCTTCGCAAAGTTCCACTTTTATACATACCTATCAAATACCATTCAAGCTCGCAAGCTCGGTCGATATTATTTTACTCAGGTCAATAAAAACCGATATCGACCTCTACAAGAGTCTATAATTGTAATCTTGTCAATTGTAGGCACATTTATGAAGCTTCCTACTGCAACATACATGAAGAATCAGAGACACCTCTCACTACTTAGTGTACATGTACTTGTCGGTTGATCAAAACAGCAGACATGAACAATTCTCGTTGTTGGTAGATGCGTTGGTTACAGATACATGAAAACATGAAATCTGGACAGATCCCTTGATATGCTACAAGAAAGAACCTTTATTTTCACATCATCCTGACATCCTGATATTCACACCCATCGTTTACGTCTGGTGCATGCATGGTTGGTGGCAATATTAAAGCGACGCCTACCATATTGTTGGGAAACAGACAGTGACAAGCGTTAAATTTGTTAACAGACTGATGTATATCGTGTATTTTGTATTAGTAGTCCTTTTGTTTGTCAACATGTATTAATGACAATCAGTCTGCAAGATTCCCTGGCTGCTACATTCCTTATACATCCTGTTTCATGTATCATGTACAAGACACATGGGATTCAGGGCGTTTCTATGGTTACCATGCATTTTCAATTATACCACAGAATGCATTATGTCATGCCGCTATGTAACTAAATATTACTTCTCGAGACTGTTTACTGATGCTCGTCAATCATTCTCCCTGGCATACAACTAATGTGCATAAACAATAAACAACTTCAAGTGCACAGGTCAAGTTTGGGCCCAAATTAAATTTACACACACACACACACAAATAAAAAAATACATAGGTTCAGAGCTCAGAGGCACTATTTCTTTATGGTGAAATGAAAAGTGTTATACAATATGATTTTTGGGGCGTTACCATGGCAACCAGGACTTTCAATGACATTCAATATGTGAGTGAGTGAGTTTAGTTTTATGCCGCCCTCAGCAAATATTCCAGCTATATGGCGGCGGTCTGTAAATAATCGAGTCTGGACCAGACAATCCAGTGATCAACAGCATGAACATCGATCTGCGCAATTGGGAACCGATGACATGTGTCAACCAAGCCAGCCAGCCTGACCACCTAATCCCGTTAGTCGCCTCTTACGACAAGCATGGGTTACTAAAGGTTCATTTTAACCTGGACCTTCGCGGGTTCATTCAGTATGTGAATATATCAAAGATAACAATGACATTTTGCTTTATGCATATGTTTAGTGATTCCCTGTGTAACATACAACCCAACTGCTAACAAACAGGGACATGAAAATTGTTACAGGTCAAGATCACGGTCACATGAACATGCTTGATAATTTCCAAAACACGTCAACTTCGCATATTTTCTCACCTAGTTTAGTTTGTAAACACAAATATAAGACTTGCATCATGGTTGTAGATACCAGATTCTCTGCTTTATGAAATCCGATGTTGCAATGATATAAAATGGCTTATTGTACAAATTGAAGAGGATGGGGAGGGAGGACTTTTAAAGTTTTGTAATAAATCAAAGACAACCTTTAAGGGTTCCTTTCTTTACATCTTTTAGTGATTATTTATATATCTAAACTGACAAACATGAACAGAATAACCATGAACACCCTCGACTACATGTTTTGTAGAGTATACCATTACAATTCCTTATGTACACAACAAGCATTGTTATTTTACACGTATATGTGATGTCAGAATAGGTTCGTGATATTGCAGTATCATATCCAGACATAGCTGCCATATAATGGACTGAATATTATAAAACAAACATCTGTAAAGCTGAAAACTTTGTTTCAAAATGAACATTGAATGCAGGGAAATCCACATTTTAAGCTGTAACACGAGAACTAACTGAAATCTGTTACAACACTACAATAGTTCCTGTCAACTGCAGTTTAACCTATCACAACCTACTAGGGTTGTTAAATGTACACTTGTTATGTAGACCGATCATGAGTCAACATGTTTCTCTGTCCTTGCCCTCCATTTACTAAGGACATCACATCTCTTAGTAACTGTTACGAATTGCTAATGGTTCACTGTGGTGACTGTAACGCCTGCCTGTGATACATCCCAGTGTATGATAGTACAAGGGCGCACCAAGACGCCAGTGTCATCACGTCTCACAGCTGTGCATGTTTCAGAATTCTTCTACATTACATGCACGATTAATCGAACATATGCTTCCACCTATATTGACAACAAATGTGATTTTTTCAACATTTCGTGACCTAGTCACTTTGACAACTTTGCCATCCATGAATCGCCAAGCTCCCATAAGCTTCCTTTATCTTTAATTCTGACTATGTGCTTGACTTCTTCTGTGTGCAATCTTGAAGATCTCTAGCAAGTCATGCGCAGTGGTGGTGCAATCATGTTTCTCTGATGAACTTGTGTTCCTGCTGTACTATTGTGTGATGGGTCACACTTTGGATACAATTGTCTACCATGAATATATGCACTCACGTCCGCACTGTATATGACAGATATGTAAGCATATGATTTCCAAATATTCAGTCTGTCTGTTTTGTATACAGCACCAACTACGGTATTTAAAATACATCCTGGCATAGCATGTACAGGTCAGGGATTTACAACTACAGTTGAACTAAGGGTCTTCATTGCAACAACCACAGGTATGCCAGTTTCCTTTCTCCCCTCTACTGGTGATGACTACCGTGTACATCAGGAGACACTGCACTACCGGTGTCACAGCCATCTTAGCCAGTCATATGTACCATAACCAACTTGATGAAGATGGAGACAGAATACGAAAAAGAACCTGGTTCTCATCATTCTCTTATAAGATACTGCTCGACAAGAAATAAAAGATTCGATGTATACTTAAAGAAAGTGCCAGTGGCTGTCACGTTCTTCAGAATTTTAGTGCCCGTAAAAATATTAACACATGTTTCAAATGAAAACATGGTTGAAACTGTAATTATTTGTGTGTGAAAAGGTTAAAAGAGCACAATCTGTAAGTTATATGGAAGTGAAATACAGAATTTGACGTGTTCCTAAACCGATCCAGCATGTTCCTGTTCCTGTTCATGTTCATGTGCCCTGGAACTTGACTTTAAATTTGAAACAAGTTTCAGGTCCCTGTTTGTTTGGTGGTATGTGACACAACTGATCACTAAACATATACACAAAGCAAAATGTTAATGTTGTCATGGTGACGCCCCTACAAATCATACTGTATGACATTTTGGCAACATTGGCTTTCATAATATCATGGTTATGTTTGGGGGTGGTGACATCTATAGAGGATTGGTTGGAATGGTATCATCTATAGGAGACTGTTTAGCGTTGTGACATCTATAGAGAGTTGGTTAGGGTGGTGACATCAAAAGGGGATTGGATGGGGGTGGTGACATCTATAGGGGATTGGTTGGGGGTGGTATCATCTATAGGAGACTGTTTATGGGGCTGACATCAATAGAGGATTGGTTTGGGTGGTGACATCTATAGCGGGTTGGATGGAGGTTGGTGACATCTATAGAGAGTTGGTTGGGGGTTGTGACATCTATAGAGAGTTGGTTGGGGGTGGTGACATCTATATATGGCAACAGAGATTTGATTGAGGTGGTGACATCTATAATGGGTTGGATGGAGGTGGTGACATCTATAGAGAGTTGGTTAGCGGTGGTGACATTTATAGAGAGTTGGTTAAGGTGGTGACATCTATAGAGAGTTGGTTAGGGGTGGTGACATATATAGAGAGTTGGTTAAGGTGGTGACATCTATAGAGGGTTGGTTGGGAGTGGAGACATTTATAGAGGGTTGGTTGGGACTTGTGACATTTATAGAGAGTTGGTTAAGGTGGTGACATCTATAGAGGGTTGGTTGGGGGTGTTGACATATATAGAGGGTTGGATGGGGGTTGTGGCATCGATAGAGAGTAAGCTAGGGTGTTCTCAGCTATAGAAGATTGGTTGGGGGTGGTGACATCTATAGAGACTTGGTTAGGATGGTGACATTTATAGAGATTTGGTTAGGGTGTTGACATCTATAGAGAGTTGGTTAGGGTGTTGACATCTATAGAGGGTTGGTTGGGGCGGTGACATCTATAGAGGGTTTGTTAGGGGGTGACATCTATAGAGAGTTTGTTAGTGTGGTGACATCTATAGAGAGTTGGTTAGGGATGGTGACATCTATAGAGGATTGGTTGAGGGTGGTGACATCTATAGAGAGTTGGTTAGGGGTGCTGACATCTATAGAGGGCTGGTTGGGAGTGGAGACATTTATAGAGAGTTGGTTAGGGATGGTGACATCTATAGAGGATTGGTTGAGGGTGGTGACATCTATAGAGAGTTGGTTAGGTTGGTGACATCTATAGAGCTTTGGTTGGTGTGGTGACATCTATAGAGAGTTGGTTGGGGGTAGTGACATCAATAGGGGATTGGTTGGGGGTGGTGACATCTATAGAGAGTTGGCTGGGGGTGGTGACATCAATAGGGGATTGGTTGAGGGTGGTGACATCTATAGAGAGTTGGTTGGGGGTGGTGACATCAATAGGGGATTGGTTGGGGGGCTGTGGCATCTATAGAGAGTTGGTTGGGGGTAGTGACATCAATAGGGGATTGGTTGGTGTGGTGACATCTATAGAGAGTTGGTTGGGGGTGGTGACATCAATAGGGGATTGGTTGGGGGTTTGTTGCATCTACAGAGAGTTGGTTGAGGGTGGTGATATCTGTAGAGAATTGTTTCGGGGTGGTGACTACAACTGTTCAGACAGCAATAGAATTCTGATCCATTAGCAGGTGCATACTGACGACGAAGATATACACAGCGAGTATAGAGAGTTCTGATCCATTAGCAGGTGCATACTGACGACGAAGATATACACAGCGAGTATAGAGAGTTCTGATCCATTAGCAGGTGCATACTGACGACGAAGATATACACAGCGAGTATAGAGAGTTCTGATCCATTAGCAGGTGCATACTGACGACGAAGATATACACAGCGAGTATAGAGAGTTCTGATCCATTAGCAGGTGCATACTGACGACGAAGATATACACAGCGAGTATAGAGAATTCTGATCCATTAGCAGGTGCATACTGACGACGAAGATATACACAGCGAGTATAGAGAGTTCTGATCCATTAGCAGGTGCATACTGACGACGAAGATATACACAGCGAGTATAGAGAGTTCTGATCCATTAGCAGGTGCATACTGACGACGAAGATATACACAGCGAGTATAGAGAGTTCTGATCCATTAGCAGGTGCATACTGACGACGAAGATATACACAGCGAGTATAGAGAATTCTGATCCATTAGCAGGTGCATACTGACGACGAAGATATACACAGCGAGTATAGAGAGTTCTGATCCATTAGCAGGTGCATACTGACGACGAAGATATACACAGCGAGTATAGAGAGTTCTGATCCATTAGCAGGTGCACACTGACGACGAAGATATACAGCGAGCGAGTATAGAGAGTTCTGATCCATTAGCAGGTGCACACTGACGACGAAGATATACACAGCGAGTATAGAGAGTTCTGATCCATTAGCAGGTGCATACTGACGACGAAGATATACACAGCGAGTATAGAGAGTTCTGATCCATTAGCAGGTGCATACTGACGACGAAGATATACACAGCGAGTATAGAGAATTCTGATCCATTAGCAGGTGCATACTGACGACGAAGATATACACAGCGAGTATAGAGAGTTCTGATCCATTAGCAGGTGCATACTGACGACGAAGATATACACAGCGAGTATAGAGAGTTCTGATCCATTAGCAGGTGCATACTGACGACGAAGATATACACAGCGAGTATAGAGAATTCTGATCCATTAGCAGGTGCATACTGACGACGAAGATATACACAGCGAGTATAGAGAGTTCTGATCCATTAGCAGGTGCACACTGACGACGAAGATATACACAGCGAGTATAGAGAGTTCTGATCCATTAGCAGGTACACTGACGACGAAGATATACACAGCGAGTATAGAGAGTTCTGATCCATTAGCAGGTGCATACTGACGACGAAGATATACACAGCGAGTATAGAGAGAGTTCTGATCCATTAGCAGGTGCATACTGACGACGAAGATATACACAGCGAGTATAGAGAGTTCTGATCCATTAGCAGGTGCACACTGACGACGAAGATATACACAGCGAGTATAGAGAATTCTGATCCATTAGCAGGTGCATACTGACGACGAAGATATACACAGCGAGTATAGAGAATTCTGATCCATTAGCAGGTGCACACTGACGACGAAGATATACACAGCGAGTATAGAGAGTTCTGATCCATTAGCAGGTGCACACTGACGACGAAGATATACACAGCGAGTATAGAGAGTTCTGATCCATTAGCAGGTGCATACTGACGACGAAGATATACACAGCGAGTATAGAGAGTTCTGATCCATTAGCAGGTGCATACTGACGACGAAGATATACACAGCGAGTATAGAGAGTTCTGATCCATTAGCAGGTGCATACTGACGACGAAGATATACACAGCGAGTATAGAGAATTCTGATCCATTAGCAGGTGCATACTGACGACGAAGATATACACAGCGAGTATAGAGAGTTCTGATCCATTAGCAGGTGCATACTGACGACGAAGATATACACAGCGAGTATAGAGAATTCTGATCCATTAGCAGGTGCATACTGACGACGAAGATATACACAGCGAGTATAGAGAATTCTGATCCATTAGCAGGTGCATACTGACGACGAAGATATACACAGCGAGTATAGAGAATTCTGATCCATTAGCAGGTGCATACTGACGACGAAGATATACACAGCGAGTATAGAGAGTTCTGATCCATTAGCAGGTGCATACTGACGACGAAGATATACACAGCGAGTATAGAGAATTCTGATCCATTAGCAGGTGCATACTGACGACGAAGATATACACAGCGAGTATAGAGAGTTCTGATCCATTAGCAGGTGCATACTGACGACGAAGATATACACAGCGAGTATAGAGAGTTCTGATCCATTAGCAGGTGCATACTGACGACGAAGATATACACAGCGAGTATAGAGAGTTCTGATCCATTAGCAGGTGCATACTGACGACGAAGATATACACAGCGAGTATAGAGAATTCTGATCCATTAGCAGGTGCATACTGACGACGAAGATATACACAGCGCATGAAACTCTATCTATGAGTACAATACTGCGTCTCTCCCCCTTTCCCTCTCTGTCACATCACAAGATTACATAACTGCTTGTACGTCCATGTTTGATCTTATAGCGGAGACAGCCATATGTATGCTTTTAAACATATGTGTGCGATCTAATTCCAGCTATGTGGTTGGCTACTCCATGGTCTTGACGGGCTTCTTTCCTGATAGCAATTAATTGATACGTTAGTCGTACTCCGGTCGAACTCACTGACGTTTGTGTTGCAACTTTAATGTTTAAAAGCGTTGGTAAACGTCGATGAAGGATATCTGATCAATCCCACCTTCGTGATATAACTGATACGACGGATACCTGCGGGTGGAGGGCCACACTAGCTATTAGTAGTATGCTGGAAGACGACAGAAATAACCTTTCTGTTTCGTCACGATATGGCTGAAATATTGCCGATGTGACGTTAATTTTTAACTTACTCACTCACTCACCTTTCTGTTACGTATTAATGCCCCAATGTTGCCATGACAACAGAGAAAATATATGTTGATTCGATGCTAAAACAGTCGAGTATTATTTTTGACAGATTACTGCAGACCGTGTCTTTCAGAAATGACATATCTAACTCGGTGTAAGGTAGATGGTATCTGACCGATACTACTGTGTTCTCTGTGTTCCACGTACCTGCAGTGAGACGTAGCTGAAACTGATGACAATCACCATTGCAACCAGCGCGGCGAAGAAGAGCAAAACACGTGCGCCTTTCTTCATCACCCAAACCTCCATCTTCAGATCGTGTACCAGGCACAAACATACACGTGTCAATAAAATTGTGAAAAGTTATGGCAAGTCTCTATATTACACAGGACTGCCACAGTGAAAAGCAAATCTCTATATTACACAGGACAGTCACATTGAAAGGCAAATATCTATATTACACAGAACTGCCACATTGAAAGGCAAATCTCTATGTTACACAGGACTGTCACATTGAAAGGCAAATCTCTATATTACACAGAACTGCCACATTGAAAGGCAAATCTCTATATTACACAGAACTGCCACATTGAAAGGCAAATCTCTATATTACACAGGACTGTCACATTGAAAGGCAAATCTCTATGTTACACAGAACTGTCACATTGAAAGGCAAATCTCTATGTTACACAGAACTGTCACATTGAAAGGCAAATCTCTATACTACACAGGACTGTCACATTGAAAGGCAAATCTCTATGTTACACAGGACTGTCACATTGAAAAGCAAATCTGAGTCGGAATGTTTCCCGCACAGCTGACACGATAGGAAGCCTCAGGAGCGTGGTGGTGTTCGCGCAGATAGTTTCCCGTTTATTGACTTTTTCGAAAAAAAAATAATGTACAAATTAGACTTTAAAACGTGTCAACTTTCTCAAAAAAACAAACATAAAGTAAGCATTGTGTGATGATAGGTAACCAAGGACGGATCCAGGATTCTGGGGAAGGGGCTGCACATAAATGATGAAGTCCAAAGGTTAGGGGGAAATGCTCCTCTGGGAATTTTTTTTCGGGGAACAAGCCGCTCAGAAGCGGTGGGGTTGGGGGGATGCGCACCTCCGCTCTGGATCCGCTACTGGGTAAAGATGCCTGAACGAGGCTTGAGCCTTTGGTTCCAAGCGCTTCCTCTATGGCGGTGTGTGGACCCTGCTTAACTCGTGGTTGGAGGGGAGGCAAAGGTTTCGTCAGATATTCAGTAGATCTAGCCAGTAGGTGAGGTGATTGATGTAAAATTATCACATTAGGTTAAAAACTCACAAAAGGTTTGATTAGTCTGTGAGAATATTCATTCGATGTTAAGGAATAGCACTTGGGAGCAAACGTCAGGTCAGAAAAATGTGTCAAACAGGGGGGGTGCTTTTACGCGCATTTGTAACGTTGCCTCTGATTGCACAAAGAATACAAATGCACCAATGGAAAGACGGATAACAAAGTTAGAGACACTTTTTTTCATAGTTTGACAAATGTGACGTCAAATGTTGACTTTGTGAAGGTGAAAACTTCCGACGTTTAAAAAACATATTTATGCAAAGCGCACATGTCTATAAAAAATCTCATAGGTAGACGAATTATCAAGCTTCAATCTGCACTATGAACTGTGCTTTTTTAACAACGTGTTCATGTCGAGATAAAAATGAAAAGGACCCCACCGTCTATACCGGAAGTACTTTTCCCTAGCGATCAAGTTACAGACAGAGCCTGCCAGCTGAGATCGTGTTTGTCAGCAAGCGTGGAAATACCGTCTTTCTACGAAATAGGTGAGTGACAACATATTTCATGCTTGCAATATGATGTATCCTGAACTAATGAACAAATATACACCATTTATTACCGCCGATCAATCCAATTTTAATATATACTTGGCCTAAATAACGTGCACAGTGGGTTGACCTATTTTTTCGTGAAATTGACATGGTTATCAAAAATGAAATACTACTGACAGTGAATGACAGTAAATGTGATTGTGTGTTACTGTTAGTATATACAAGTTAGCAACATTTGGCAGCTGACCATGGCAACATTATCTCTGTTTTCAGTTGCATTCTATTTACAAAATCCCTTCACATTTTTTTAAGTTATATAAAAATTGCCATTGTTGATGAAATAACAATAATAAATAATCAGTCATTTACTGTTTAAGCTTGGGGCCATTAAATTGTCACGATCTAATTAGTGCCATACTGTTAAGAAAATATATTAATTTTTATTTTCCTTAATTTTCAGGACCAGGGCTGACCAACTGAAGAGAAGAAGCCTGACTACTTATGTTTTGCAAAGTGACAGAGATTGGTCGCTATTGTTTCTTCAGATTTTATTATTATCATGCAACCTGACCTGTATGCTGTTTTTGTGATTTATTCTAAGCAGTTATACCTGCCATATATTGACAGTTTGTGATAAAGTTGAAAATGTTTCTTCCTCATATGTTGTGCATTGATCTGCATTGATCTTTGCCAAAATGGATTCATATGACCCAGGATCATGACATAACTTGCAACTGAAACTGTATTTGTTGGAAACTATTTGCTTAAGTATTTATGATCACATTCAAAAGACACCTAGACCACGGCCTCTAATACAAATACCAGATATGTTATATAATGTTATCAATCCATCATGCATGAGATATTGGATTTGATATAAAAAGGCTTAGCTAAGATTCTACATGCTCCTTGGGCCAGGTTTAGTTTTCAACCCTGTGATATATATTTTATGTATTATGTAGGAGTTTCTAGAACTTTATTTATTCATTTCATTGTGGTACATACGCTGTCTGTAGAAAGGAGCAAGAAGTCCCTATTTTACTTGATTTTGACTTATTTTGACTCCAGAGACTTAAGTTAACATGAAACTTGCCTTGTATGCATGTATTGTCATTTTCTAGTCTTTAATGCATGTCATACGTGGCCAAATTGTAATGGTAATTAAACAGCAGAAATGGGTACCAGTGTCAGCGACAGATTTTGCTGTTGAATGTGTTAGATATATCACTTTTATTGCAAAAATAGATAGACATGATGCCAATAAACAACTACAATGCATACAAGTATTATTCAGAAGTGTAAAATTATTTTTGAAAATAACCTAGCCAATATATAGCTGGAAAGAAATGCAGTAATTTTTTAGGGAGCAGGTGTGTTTGAATGCTAATAACTTTTTATTATTTTTTTCTGTGTTAAAAACAAAGTATTTTGATAGCTTATCCTTTGCTCTAGCCCCACATAACTTCCATGTTAATTGTACGGGTAACTATAGATATTCTTCAAAATACATTTGTATCTCTTGACCTTCAAATTTCAAGGTCGAGCATATTTTATAAACATTGTAACATATGCTTTTTTAACTTGATTGTCACTTTTTGGAGATAAAAAGACGTGTTATCACATAACAATGACTATGTATGCTTATTTTGATGATGTTTTACTCATGTTTAGACATTATTCATGAAAACTTAGTGAAAAGTTTAAAAACGATTTATACGGGGCTACACTTACGGGGTCAGATTTTCATATTGTATGTGGTAAATATATGTCCATTATCACTAAAATGGATAGACAAGATACCAATACAGAGATAGAATACTTAAACATATTTTTCTTCAGTGCAGAAATATTTTTAAAATATTCCTGACCAAAAAAAATGGCTGAAAAAAGAAATTCATTTTTCTTTTCTGAGGGTGGACGTCTTGTAAATCTAATAACTTTTTAATAACATTTTTTGGTATGAAAATCAAAGTGTTTTGTTGTTATTGAAACTTCACTGTAGCAACACATCAAATTTGGTTGAAAAATTCCTATTAATAAAAACTGAGTGATTATGCTTACTATTAATAGTTTTGACCTTTGGCACACTACTGTATTCGGCGGGAAATCAATATCTTGCGACTCACAGTGGGCAGCGAACAAGGTATAATATCAAATGCTAAAATGTCTCAATGAAACGTGTTTGTTTGCCCTCATAGCATGGAGTGAAAATAATAACATTGACAGTTTTGTCGCAGACGGTCAGATGTGAGGAGCGACTGCTTGTGACAGACAAGTGGCACAGTGTTCGAGCTGCTCGCCAGTCATTGTAGTGAATCGTCTGGCCAGGAGTCGTGGTTTTCACGGAGCGGAGCGGTAAACAACAGGCGCTCCCGGCCACTCTCGCACAAACACATACATTGAAAAGAAATGTTTGTTTTTCATTTGATTTTCTCAGTTAAAAAACATTACTTGTCTTTGCATTTGAGAAAAAGACAACAGCAGCACATTTCAATAAAGGTATTCTAAGAATCTCATTAATAATTCTTGGGAAAGTTGGCTACATTGGAATTTATTCTTATGTTACAGGCAACAGTAACTCCAGAACATTCACAACATGGAGGATGTATATGGTTGTCACAGTCAGCGGGGAAGTATGGTGACAGCCTCCCTGTGTCTGAAGAGAGAGGATGGTGACAATCTCCCTGTGTTTGAAGAGAGAGGATGGTGACAATCTCCATGTGTCTTGGGAGAGGATGGTGACAGTGTCCTTGTGTGTCTGTGGAGAGAGGATGGTGACAGTCTCCCTGTGTCTGGGGAGAGGATGGTGACAGTGTCCCTGTGTGTCTGTTAAGAGAGGATGGTGACAGTGTCCCTGTGTGTCTGTTAAGAGAAGATGGTGACAGTCTCCCTGTGTCTGGGGAGAGGATGGTGACAGTGTCCCTGCGTGTCTGTGGAGAGAGGATGGTGACTGTCTCCCTGTGTCTGAAGGGAGAGGATGGTGACAGTCTCCCTGTGTCTGGAGAGAGGACGGTGATAGTCCCCCTGTGTCTGGGGAGAGGATGGTGACAGTCTCCCTTGTGTCTGAAGGGAGAGGATGGTGACAGTCTCCCTGCGTCTGTAGAGAGAGGATGGTGACAGTGTACCTGTGTCTGGGGAGAGGACGGTGACAGTGTCCCTGTGTCTGTGGAGAGAGGATGGTGACAGTGTACCTGTATCTGAAGAGAGAGGATGGTGACAGTCCCCCTGTGTCCATGGAGAGAGGATGTGACAGTGTCCCTGTGTCTGAAGGGAGAGGACGGTGACAGTCTCCCTGTGTCCAGAGGTAGAGGATGGTGACAGTCTCCCTGTGTCTGGAGGTAGAGGATGGTGATAGTCTCCCTGTGTCTGGAGGTAGAGGATGGTGACAGTCTCCTGGTGTCTGGAGGTAGAGGATGGTGATAGTCTCCCTGTGTCTGGAGGTAGAGGACGGTGACAGTCTCCCTGTGTCTGGAGGTAGAGGATGGTGACAGTCTCCCTGTGTCTGGAGGTAGAGGATGGTGATAGTCTCCCTGTGTCTGGAGGTAGAGGATGGTGACAGTCTCCCTGTGTCTGGAGGTAGAGGATGGTGATAGTCTCCCTGTGTCTGGAGGTAGAGGATGGTGACAGTCTCCCTGTGTCTGGAGGTAGAGGATGGTGACAGTCTCCCTGTGTCTGGAGGTAGACGATGGTGACAGTCTCCCTGTGTCTGGAGGTAGAGGATGGTGACAGTCTCCTGGTGTCTGGAAGTAGAGGATGGTGACAGTCTCCCTGTGTCTCTAAGGAGAGGATGGTGACAGTCTCCGTGTCTGGGGAGAGAGGTGTGGGACGATCACTGACAGGTAGGGCTGAGCGAATATTTATCAGCCTTAATAAGCAGTTTGTTCCGTTTAGTCATGGTTTCTTTAATAATCTAAAAGAAGGCATCACAATGATCCCAACCAACACCGTAACTAATTGAGTTGAAATGTTTGTCATTTACTCAATAGTTGTGACAGGGAAAAGAGTCAGGCTTCTGTATTTTTGGACAGGATATGACCATGTGTAGCAGGTTCAAATCAATCTCAGTAAATTCTTTCTGGTGTGGCTTCATCTGAGGCCCTGGGTCTTGATTTAGCGCTACGATGGTCGTAAGTTAATGTTAATGTATGGCACTTACGACTATCCTAGCGCTAAGAGAGCTTCGAAAATCTAGGCCCTGGTCACTTCATGTGATGTGGGCCTGACCTGTCTCCAGGATTAAGTCACCTGGTCCAGGTCCCACTCTGGAATGATCTATGACGGGACTGAATCCCAAGGCCTGCATTAATTGTACACCTGGCTTCTCAAAAGGAAATGACTTATTGACATCTTCCATCAAAAATACAGTTGATAAATATATTTTGCAAGTATGATGAATAACGAAGGGCACATCGTTACATGATGTTCAGATTTCTCAGGTAATTCGAGTTAAAGAAATAGATTTAAAAATGTCTAAAATTCCAACAGACCTTTGTACTGTACCATCCAAAGTGAGAAGCAGTATGTACAAGACGTGGAAGCTTTTGGTGCTTTTGTATTCATACATTACATCGACTTGTGGTGTTGTAATGAATTGGTAATGAATTCTCATTTAAATATGTTCAGTGAGTTGTCAACTTACATTTAGCATGGATGTTGAAATCATTGCTAGTTTCACGTAGCCAAACCGACATTAAATCTTCACTGCAAATAAGGTGACCATACTCTTATGATTTGATATATGCAGTGTCTACCAATTGTCTGCACTTCCATGTAACCCTGCTGCCAAATGAATACACTGACAACAAAAGTTGATAGAATGAACCTGTGGGAACCTGTTTTATATATGTTACTTGCTTTCCCTGTATGCTGGTTAGTCAGAACTGAAGAACTGAACTTGGTGCAAGCCTCACTGTAGGACCAACATGCTGCTAATCATTCAGTTTTGAAATGTGTTTCAGTTTATTTGACCACATTACTATAGTCGTTTATAATACAGCGTTTGAATAAGGGAACCGCTTTTAGCATTTGTTTTTGTCAATCAAAAACCCCAAACCTTTGGCAGCTCCTTTGATTGTATCATGATCACGGGATTATGTGACCCCTCTTTGAACGTGGCTGACATATTGTCAATGTCATCTTGTGCCCATCTCTACTGAGCTTGGGCTCAGACTAGTGACTAAGTCGCAGATTGTCATACGATTTTTGCCAGATTACATGTTTAAGTTTTTTTACTTTCTAAAACCAAGTGTTTCTGGGGCTACTGCCTTTTCTACTGAGACTACAACAAAGGCCATTGAGCTGTAACTTTACTGGAAGGATCCCAACTGGGGTATTTCTACAAACTGCACAGAATTTAGTATTTAAGAAAGAAGCAGAATATTGTAGTGTTTTGTTTAACTTAGCATTACATAGTTGTTCCCATGTCCTGTACCTCACAAACTCATTTCCAGTGTAACTCACCATGACATGATATTGTCACTTTTTATGTAGATACAAGGTCACTTTCTTCCTGACACAGAGACCTGAAAGTGCAACTCTGCAACTTCGGCTAGCAGTCTTTTCAATGTGTACATGTATTTTACAGATTTGTTCTAATGTTTTTGCAGTGGTAAACCTAATGGGTTATAATTATATTTATCAAATCTATTTACTAGGTGACAGAAACCGAATTTTCACCAAGTTCTCAAAAGAAGAAAGTGAGGTGTATGCACAAGCACAATAGAAGGGCGATAACTCTGCTTGGCTTCACACAGGGCCATCGATGTGTGGCGCTAATGCCTTTCGTTATTCTGATATATCAAAATGATAAGCAATAAATAGATGACCCTATCTGAGAATTATATTCAGACGTTGCATTTCACTGCATTTACTTATATGTGTAATCTTGCTTGTATTAGGACATTAAGAGAGTTCTGCTCCTATACTTAAGTGCTAAGAATAAGTAAATGTAAGATATTTAGATTTTATACACAACGAAATTGTTTGCTTAACTTTAAAGTGAAGATTGAAGGGGATTATCGTTTGCTGTAATCAATGATACAACTGTTTTTTGTGCCACATCAGGTTTGGTTGCTCTATGACAAGGGGCGCGCACTCTCCAAACGACCTGTAGAGAGACATTTTCGGCCATTTTGTCGATATTTCGTCCATTCTGTGTTTTAAGGCCTAACCGGCTCACTGCTCTCTGTGCCTTGCGTTTCCTGTAATGTATGAATACATGTGATACCTGACAGGGCATCGTGGATAGAACATAAATGTCTCTGAAGATAGAACCCTTATCAAGTGGACAGCTCACTCACTCACTCACTCACTCACTCACTCTCACTCTCACTCTCTCACTCTCACTCACTCACTCACTCACTCACTCACTCTATCAGCCACTGATTTGTCGAAGCTAGATTTAATTGCCGAGTTTGTTCCTCTTCGATGTAGAGACAAGGCCACTTTCTGCCAACAGGGTGTCGAATATAAAGAATAGTCTTACTGAAGATAGAACCTTATCAAGTGGACAACTCCCTTCCCTCACTTTATCAACCACTGGTTTGTGGAGGATGGGTTTTATTTCAGAAGACCGTGATATTACTTCGTCCCAACACAGTGTTCTGAGCAGTGGGTGCCACCATGTAACCACGGCAATAACTCTTCTCAGCAACGAAAAGCAGTTACACATTTGTTCCAATGGATAATACAATGGTGAAAAACTACTGGGTTACAATTGTAACTATAAAAATTCTGTATACTGGTTGGAGGTAAGCTTTGGTGACATTTGGCTGAATATGGGAGTCACTTGTAGTAACTGCTTCCTCCGTTTCTAGAGAGGTTTTCCGATTGCACTCGTATGACCGCTCCTTTCATCGATCTATCTATCTATCTATCTATCCATCCATCCATCCATCCATCCATCCATCCATCCATCCATCTACCCATCTATCTATCTATCTTTCTATCTACAATGCCGTGTCTCACAATGTATTTTGATACCTTTACTATCAGTTGTCATGTCCTCGTACATTGTTGTTTGTGATACATTGTTTTACTTATGCATATGAATACGGAAAGCTTTTATGCCTTCTTTAATGTGTGTGATACTTGGCGAAATAATGTAATTCAAAAGAAATTAAATACTGGAATACTTTTACCGTGCATAAATACGTAAAGAAGTCCCAATTTATGCCAACATGATACCTAAGTTCATAAGTTGCAGGCTTTGGTATTGCGGCAATAATACCATCTCAACATGATGTGGGGACTTCACCATTAGCAGAACATAACGAGAAATGTTTAAGCATTTATTGAATAACATATTACCTTTTAACTGCTTCAGCAGGGACAGGACTTACCCGGGCAACTTTCATCGCCTTGTCTTTGTTTCGCATTTTAGGAAGCATTAGACTTGCACAAGTCTCCAAGACAATAACTAATGGCTTTTGGCAATAATCCTTAAGAATATAATAGGTTATCAGAACGCGCTGTCACTATTAAAGGACTGGCTTCCATAGATGCGTTGTCCATTTATCTAGACTTGACTAGTAAAAGGTAGAATTGGACCAGTACACTGCCTTGGAGCAAGATTAACGATGGATAAAGGAGACTGGTTGTTCTCAGGCGTTGATTTTATACCCGGGCGACTTATATCACCTTGTCTTTCTTTCGCCTTATAAGAGAGATTACACTTGCACAAGTCTCTTGTACAATGGTAATTAGCTTTCGCATTGTAATAGTCCTGAAGAATAACATTAAGAATCAGAACATGCTGTAACTATTAAAGACTGGAATCCTTAGATGTAGTGAACGCTTATCTATATTTGCATCTTATAAAGGTAGAATTACATGCACTATAGAGCCTTGGATCAAGGCTAAGGACGGATAGTCGAGACTGGTTGTTCTCTGGCGTTCATATGCTATATTGACTGTATAGTCCACTTTTTGTCCAGTAGTCCAAGAGTTCAAAGTCACTTTTGTATTTTTTGGTAATTTCTGGAAGGTGAACATCTAAAGGTTTTTTTGGAATCTTGATATAAACTGTTAGATATTGCCTAAATTCTAAAGATACTGATCATATATCAAACGGATTTGTTGCTCAAGGATTACAAAATTCAAAAATAACAGAAAACCGAGTTTCCTTAATGTTACCCAAACAAAACAGACAGAGAGGTATATAACATGACAGAAAGGGGTTTAACTCCGTCAGGCCTCAAACTGAACCATTTATGTGTGGCGGTAACACTGTTAATATCAGTAATATATAGATGACCCTATCTGAGACTTAAATTCAGTCGGACCATTTCACTCCATCCGCCTGTATGTGTAATTGATCTGGCATGCTTGGGAAATTTTGAGAGTTCTAGTCCTATATTCAAGTGTAAAGAAAATCCAATAATCTGATATTTAAATTCTGAAACGCACAAGGAAATTTGTTTTTCAATGTCAAGGTGAGGATCGAAGGGTATGTGTATACTTGTACGGTGTTCTTCAGGGGTGGGGAGGGTGTGTGGGGGTGGGGATCACGTGAAGGGGTCATGTGATTGGAAAATACAGTATCATTAATTAACAAGGCAGGTTGAAATTGTTCGTGTGAATAAGAAGGGGCACAATTGCAGTCTTATCAACTTATGTAAAGATATGCAGCTTGTATAGTCTGGATATATATTTCTATACATATTTATTTGGATAGCAAGTGTTGTTCAAACAATCTGTAGCTTACATGTGTTTACGGATGCTCTATCAGTGTTTACGGAAGCTCTATCAGCGACTGAATTGTTTGAACAAGGTTCGGACAAACACCTATATCATTGCTGACACTCACTCACTCACTCACTTTAAAGACAAAAATACGTTACACTATTCTCTTGCTCTTATGCATGTTCATCTACTTCCTTTCGCCAAGGAAACCAGCTTTCCTGATGAGGGTGTGTTCAAATCTGAAAATTTCTGCGACCGCCTAAATATACCTTTTATATTTTTGCAGAGCTTATCTTTATAATTACCGTGAACACTATCGCCATGTACACGTGATACAGTGACAGTTGATTCCTAAATATAAATATAATAAAAATGAGCCCAGGGGCTGTCGCCATTTTTCCTGAAACTGTGGTATTCTGAACTTGACATATATTCTAGACTTGCATGGTCTGTATTGGGTATATTAGATTATAGGTACACTAGGTGTGCTGGTCCCAGATCTCTGGTGAGACACATCCTTAGGGCTTACAGGACGAACATAGGTACCCAGCAATCTCACATTATTATAAGAGGCGAAGTACCGACTGGGTTATTTACCGGGCGCCGTCATAGAGCTTGAATATTGAAAAATGACAATAACATAGTTATTACGAGGCCAAGATTGTGGTCTGTTATCATACACAGAAGTATTTTCTCACTGTGTTTTAATGTGCCATGCTTAGGGACCGTTTATAACTTATTGCTAGGGGGTTGATGATGAGTTATATGTAGAAGTATCTGCAATGTGAATGATCCCCCTAAAATTGATGTTAATGACACACCTTGCATGCCATGTACAAAATCAATGACACCCCGCCATAATTTCTTAGCATAAATTTTATATATTGCAATGTACAAAATTCATGAGTCCCCTTCCCCAAATTACCCCAAACTAAATGGGTGACACCCCCTTAAAACCACCACCATCATTACCCGCCCCCACCCCACCCCCCTAGCCATATATTATGAACGGTCCTATAGCGTGAAGAATATATGATTACATATGAATGGAAATAGTAACAATGTCCCACTGAACTGTCAAAGACAGCTCACAACTCAACATCATGGAGGAAGGGTGTTGGTGAGGGTGTCTGAGTCCTCCTTATGAAGACACCCGGTGTGTATCAGTGGGACAGATAAACACTGATGAATGTGGGCGGGGGTGAAACACTGTTTCTGGAATTACAAACAAACTTGATTCTGTGAAGGTTGTCATCACTGTATCAACCAATCAGAAGACAGCAAGACATGCGCACTGGCACAGTCATTCCAGTTTTGGCGCGACTATATAAGATTGAGAATGCGGCTGTGTTCAATCCGCTCGTTCACTTCGATCAGAGAACAGCAACAATGCCACGAGCAGGGAAATTTTGTCGGGGTCTGTCGGTCCAGCCAAGGGAAAGCGCCTGCCTCTGTCCCTTCTTGTCCAGATTTGTACACCTATACGCCTCCAACAAGACGGCCTCACCACGTCGCGTGACCTCTTCGAAGAATAGACCTTTCCATGGCTTATTTCATGGGCGCCGCCATTTTGTGGCAGCCATTAAGCGGCTGCAACGATGAACTGGTCTGTGCTATTTGTAACGCCGCGGCAATCTATGACGTTGCAAACAAGTCTAGACGGTGCCCAGTCAACGCTTACGCGGCGAAAAACAACGTCTACTTACAGGTCCAATTACATCTCGTTTTAGGGATTTCTGATATCATGTCTAAAACAAACATTGCAGGTAAGATATATTTAAAGTACTAAAGTTTAAAGAAATGACCCAGTAATGTCAATATCATGTGCATTTTGTTGTAACTCGGCTATTGTATTGTGCACGAAAACTGAAGGCCTTTAAACGAAGTTGAATTTAACGTGAAACTGTATGTAAACTATAGGCCGCCTGTATCTTATAAGGCCTGTGTTCTGAATTTGAACTTGCCTGTATTTTCAAATATGTATAGGGCATTTAAATATTTCCAAACATATTCCCCTAATGTTGTCTTGTTTATATTTTGATTTGATATGTCAAGAACCATTGTCAAAATTTATTATTTAGCTATATACAAATTATTTCAAGATTTACACACGGTAATCTCTTACTAAATGCTCACAAATGACTACGTTTTGACTATATCTTGACCAAATAATTTGTGAAAAATACCTTCTACTTTTTTATCTACATATTTGTGTTATTAAAAAGTACTAGTATATTTCTTATTTATCTCACACAAATTAAGACGTTCTCTTGTAACTAGAAGTACTGACTGACTGACTGAGTTTAGTTTTACGCCGCTTTTAGCAATATTCCAGCAATATCACGGCGGGGGACACCAGAAATGGGCTTAACACATTGTGCCCATGTGGGGAATCGAACCCGTGTCTTCGGCGTGACGAGCCAACGCTTTAACCACTAGGCTACCCCACCGCCCCTGTAACTAGAAGTAACAGCTGGTTAAATATAATTAGGTCAGATAGTTATCTCAATCTGTAATGAGGCTAGGTCAAATGTGATGAGTGGGTATGGTTATTATTGTACTTTCTGTTACAGAGTCACTACCTGAAGGCAGTGCCAAGTGGGTTACCAATAATACTGGAAACTGGCCTCAGATAGGATATGAAGATATTATTGACTACCTCATTAAGTCCCACTCATTTGATTCCAAGGAAATGAAAGCTTTTCGAGCAACATATGCATATAATTATGTGCAGAATGGATGGTTAGGTGATATTCAAAGCATTGTGGAAAATGAAGTTCATTATCTTAAAGCCTGTGTCACCCTCTCAGCCAGGAGCCTCTACAGTTCCTTACAATGCATGGATTGCTGCAAGGAAAGATGGTACTGTATTAACTGCATGTTGCACTTGCCCAGCTGTCCTACAACATCTGTGCATGCAATGATTGACTCAGGAAAAGGTGATGTTCGAAACATTGAGAGTGTACTAGTTCTTTACTCAAAAGGGAGAAATGGATATTTCACTCAGGTGCAAATGTGTATGTTCTGTACAGGAAAACATCAGTGCACATTTCTTATGTGGAGACCAGAAGAACATGACAGAGTCCTGCTTGATGTTGCATATTATTCCAGCTTTGTTGACAATACACTGTCTAGATTAAGAGCGTTTTATTTTAAACATATGCTGGTCCGGTTGGTTGATGACTTCAAGGCAGGTCGGTTTGTGTTGAGTGAGGAATACAAGCAGTTCTGTGTGTCACAGTAGCATGTGTAGAGTAAATAACACTGTAACAGCATCAACACATAAATTACACAGCTATGCGAAGTTTGTTGTTTTGTTAGAGCTGAGTCAATGAATTGCTTTCTATCTAATTGATGTGATGTATCTACTATGTTATTGACTTACTGTTGATGTTTGAAAAGAATTTGTATAGAACCTGTAAATGTGTACATTTCCTTCACTCACTGACACTCAAATGAATAGTAATAAAATCAAAGTTTTGTATTATGAATTGCTGATATTGTATGAAGAAAACTACAGTTCAAGTCAAATACTATTTCACACGCTAGTAACTTAAAATAAATGTTTAACATATTTAGGTTGAATAATAAAATACAATGTACCAGTATGAAATGAATATGTGTTTTGTTTTTAATGAACATGATCAGTATTTATATCGCATGTAATTACTCACACTTAAGATGAAATGTTTAACCCCCTGAAGCAGGAGTATTGTTGTCACACATATCATGGGACCATATATACAGTTACAGAAACTTGTGAGATTTTCCTAGTGGCCCAAGTGGTGATGTATCTGTAAAAAAAAACTTTTTGGTGATCACTAACTGCTATTGTTTTCTCCAAAATATCAGTGGCCCAAAGACAAAAGTGGTGGCCATCTGCCACTGGTAGTTTCTATCACTGTATATATGGTGCCATGCATATGGCAGTCTAAGGGTTAAGGTGATTTACAAGTTTGATTTCATTGAATATCTATAGGTTGGTATTTAAACATAAAACAGCAATGATAACAAAAATCAAGGTGAGGTGAACATTCAGTTTAATGATTTAAACATCAATTCAATGAGAATATGTATTTATAATTTATCATTCTTGTTGGTGAAATATCACATTGCAAAATCACATACATCTCATAAGCTTAAGCAGCCTACTAGATGTCTGAAACATACATGACTACTCAGTCTTTGTCCTTGATGAGTTCTGGTCTGAGGTCACACAGGTCTGCACACACTTTGACTATCTTATCCAACTTTTGAACATAATTAAGAGGTAGAACCTGATTCAATATTCTGTAAGACTTCAACCTGGCAATTGCTCTTTCTACATGTATTCTTACAGATGCAATTCTGCGTGTTTCTATACACTCTGTAGCACTCAGTTGTTTACGACCCTTCATAAAAGCAGGAATGTTCAGTTTCACTCTTCTAGCATAAAGTTCATTGCTTATTGTAAAGCCTCTATCTGCCATTACCTCATCACCAGGTAACAAGTAGTTTAGAAAACCCGAGTTCTTGGTGATATACACATCACTTGCACGACCCCCATAGCATCTTGAAACATACATAATATACCCATTGGGAGCAATTACAACAAGAATTTTGGCAGTATTGTGACTTTTATATGCACTGTAGGTTTGAGCTCTAACCTTCAATGAAAATGGACGTTGCAAGAACATTTCTGTACAGTCAATAATGCAGGTAGTGTGTGGATAGGTAGTCTTAAAGGACATTGGCATTGCAGATCTAATAACATCTCTTGGGAGCCAAACAATGCAATCCTTTAGCTTTCTGGCTAAAATTGAGATACAAATTCCAAAATTTTACTTGCTAATTGCGTGGAAACTGAAAGTCTTCTCCCGAGATCATGAAACTGAATTCCAAGCCTAAGTCTCATAAGTGTGAGTAGTGTTTGATCTGAGAGTGGCATCTTAATGTTTGACCGCAGTACAGATGTAAGATAAGTTATTACTGACAGAAACACTTGTAGAATAAGTCCAGTGTAAAACACAGAATCAGTGTCAGTCTTAATACTGTCTGCAGAAAAGGCAGGAAAATTAACCTGAACAGAGACATTCTTTGTTTTGGTCGTGTAGTGCTGGGTTGCATAATGGTGATCTACTGACTTGTTAAAATGAACCTGTACTCCTACAGTTCTGTTTGGAACTTTTATCATAGGTCTGTGAAGACAAAAACAAGACTTCTGTTTACAACAGTCACAATCACTTGGTCTGGAGTCATCATTCTCCTTTTCCTTCTCTTCAGCTTGAGATACAGGTTGATCTGTCAGTTCAGCTTCAGCATGGCACTCCTCAGTCAGTTGATTGCTCCTTGGGGTCCGAGAAACATCAGAGAGAGGGTGTCGGAAAATGGTCCTTCTCCCTTGTGTCACCTGGAGAGAGGAAAGTTAAAGTATAACAGGCTATTATACATTTACATCAATGAACAGTAATAAATAGTTAATAACATAATTGTCAAAATAACTTTACGTTTAATACATCACTAGTAGGACTATATTGTACATTACATTAAACTAAAAGTACACTAACCTTTCTTTGATATCCCAAATTTAAGACTGGATCAGGATTTTGTTTGCTTGGATGGCCATCCAAAAATGAATTGAGCATATCTGGAAAAAGTCATAAAAATAAAATAATTACATTTCTATTTAGCCAATGTCACTCCAGTAACTACAATGGGTTATCACATTTTCAACAAATGTTTTCACTCCTGTTAAACACTAGAGCCGTTAAATAAAGAAATTCTTTACATCCGTGTACTATGTGTACACTAACGATACACAGAGGGTAAAGTAATTAAGTAATACTATATTACATAATAAATTAATCCAAAAATGTTATTATTAACTAATTTTAAGGAAAGATATATTGAGTAAATAATGATAAATAGACTGTTTCCTCTCAATATTTTTGGGCCTATTGCAAGATATCAGTAAGTTTCTACAATACAAATGTCTCTAGAATAATGATTTGTAGCACATAAGCTTTTAAAATGTTGGAATATTTTACTAGTAAAAATTGTCGTTCAACCCTTTGTTGCATAGCTTTACCCAACAGTGCATTCGTACCTCCTATACTGTAACATAGGAGGTACGAATGCTACGAGATCTTAAGCTTACGAGAGCTTTGTGAAACGGGGTCCAGCACTGTAGGCCCTACATGAATAACAAAATATCTAACGTTTCATTATCTCTAGTTATCAGATGGGATAAACTATTGTGCCACTAATTATCTTGATAAATACATACCACACTGCTATCAGATGGGTGAAAATCCTTCCGATTAACACGTGACACCCAAACACGACGACGATCTTCATTCACAGGAAACCTATGGAGATGATAGGGAAACAAACAAGGGCAGTCCTTCCGTGGCAGTTTATGGACTGTACAGGGCAATTCCTTCCATATACGTAGATTTCTCTGGCTATTTGTACAGTCCTTCATAGCACAAATTCTCCCTGATCCACGTTCATAAGGCTTACCTCTGTCCCGAGACATATTTTCGAAAAAACCCAGCAAGTTCCCAGACGTAAAACGTCAATGTCAATTTGCAGCCGCTTAATGGCGGACGACACTAGCGCCACCACAAAGGGGGATAACTGAGAGTGGTACGAAGCACTGTTCCGTGGAAAGGTCTATATAGAGAATACGACACGAGGTCTCATTACATACGAATTACACGAAACGAGTGTCCTTCCTATGGTATCTGACCGAGCGCAAGCGAGTTTCGTATAATTCGTATGTAATGAGACAGAGTGTGGTATTTTATTTATTACCCACGTCTTACATGCATTAAATTGACAAAATAGCGTAGTTTTGGTATTGTTGTGGTTTCAAACCGAAACAGGTTTCATAACACACTCCGACACAGCAATGACTTAACATAACATCACTACCACAGGCTAATTTGCATATCACCCCAGCAGGCACATCAACGTTGTTTCAACGTTGAGAATAGGTTGATCCTCAACGTTGAAAATAGATTGAAAATAGGTTGTATATGAAAGTTTTTTTGACGTAGATATCCGACGTGGAATCAACGTTGAAGTTTGACCGATTATCAACGTTGAAAAAAGGTTGATCCTCAACGTTGAAAATAGGTTGTATATGAAAGTTTTTTTGACGTAGATATCCGACGTGGAATCAACGTTGAAGTTTGACCGATTATCAACGTTGCGAATAGGTTGATCCTCAACGTTGAAAATAGATTGAAAATAGGTTGTATATGAAAGTTTTTTTGACGTAGATATCCGACGTCGAATCAATGTTGAAGTCTGACATATTATTAACGTTGAAAATGGGTTGTTCCGTGGTTGTGTCTGGGAGGTATTACACTTTCCTGTAAATAGACTCGCATTTCATCTTTAAACTACAATAAAGTAGCACCAAACTCCTGCATCCAGCTAAAATACCCAAAAAGCTACCTGCAATAAACAGTGTTCAAACAGAAAATTGCAGTAAAAATATTTACCTGATAAAATACTTGGTTAAAATTCCACATTCAATATAATGTTCATTTAAGTTTTATGTCAGTTGGACGTATAATTCCAGTAAGAAGAAAAGAGTATTCCAAATTAAGAAAAACTATTTACTGTTGTATTGTTACCTTGAAAAGGTGAAAATTGTCCCGAGAAGACATTTTGTCTGAATTTCAGCTCTTAGACAGACCTCTGAATAAACACAATGCAATTACTTTCACCATGAAAGGGATCCAAGATGACCAGGAACTATACCTCACATGGTATAAGACAGCACATAAAACAAGTCACTTTTCATGAAATCTTTATGAACACACACGCACACAGAAAACGTGGTTTAATGCATAATGTAAAACATCACACATGACATAGTCTGTAGGTGATCTCTGTTGTGCTAATAACACAATATCATCTGCATATAGCATCAAAGTGACATTTACGCCACCAATTTCAATACCACAGTTCAGCTTTTTCAACACAATTACAACTCCAAAAACAAAATTATCAGCTCCTCTTCTTTCTGCCACTCCCTGCCTGGCGGTCAGGTGGATACTTCAGAAACGTTCCTAACTCTTTCTTGAAATTTGCTTCGGATGCATTCCCATCTCATTCCCTTGAGATAGGACACATTCTGAAATTTTATATTTAAATACATGAATAAGTTATATGGAAGATATATTGTCTTAAATGATTCAAGTATTTGTTTAATCAATCACTTGAAAGGTTCATTTCACTGCTGTAACTTGGCATGTGAACATATGAACAGCATCAATACAAAATATGACGAAAAGTGTAAACAATTTATATTTTCAACCGAAGGAATGGAAGTTTTCTTAAACATTTTCAAAGAAAATCCTCAATTGCAAGTTGATTATTTAATTAGACTATGAATTACCGGTAGGATGAATTAGACGATGCTTTACTGTCATATATTATTTGCTATGGTCATGATGAAAATGCTGCACTTGGTAATTAACTTACAAGAGATGATTGAATACAACCTTGTATTCTTAAAAGAAAACTTGCCGTTTTGCCCATCAACATTCATTCTTGACATCAAATTGTTTGACATTGTCCTGCAAAACAATGGAAGATTGTTGTTATTCTGTCAGATTTAGTTTTCTTTAGAGATTCTCGGAAATGATTATTTCAAATTAATAGGAGTTGAACTGATGTAGCAATTTTGCTACCAGGAGTCATAAATTGTAACAAAAGCCATTTTACATTTAATGATAAGAAAACAAAATGGGTGGTGGTTCACAGGTCAAAGAACAAGTCTATTGTGGGAGGTCTCCCAACACCATTTGTTCCCAAACACAAGGAAGTATGGATCATGGAGTTCTGAAAACAATAATGAGCTCTCATAAGTATACAATATATTCTCTATTATCTACTCTCTCTCTCTCTTTGTCATTTGTACACTCATAAAACTCAGATAAATAACTTTTTTATAATTCATATATGTTTACACTTAATCTCTTATAGGAACGCTTAGAAAATCTCTCATATAATGAATTATGTGTGCGTATTATCTGCGACGTCATAACTATGCTTCTCTGAATCATGAACAATAAAATAATGAGATTAAACTCTACATTGTCAGAAATAATCTATCATACCATGAATAATAAGACATTGAATAACATCTCTTACAACTCCAATCTACACTCAAAAAAGACTTAAATGTACTCGTAAACAAACATCGCTGGCTAACGCAAATTCTTGGAAACAGTGCATCTCTGACTCTCAATTCCAAGAAATGGAAGTCCTACTCTATTTGACCAAAGGGGTGACAGGTTGCCAAAACATATTGAAATGTAGGTCATACACTGAAAATAACTCTGATTTAAAACACTACAAATATACACCTTCTCTCTAATATACTCGATAGATGATCTTAACAAGGGAACATGTACATAAAATGCTGATATCTAACAACACCTGTACTTTATATAATGGACTCTTCCAAATCTCAGTATGTTTCACTGCACACATATTAGATTGCAAATAATGAAAAACCTACCCTTTGACAATAATAAAAAAAAACATCATATTCAAATTCTACAGCTGACCAAATACCTGAAGAGTGTGCTTCCCAGCAATAAACATCTCTATATATCTATAAATGTATGACTTCTGTCCTCTCGCGTGCTATCTTGCATCCAGCTGTTTACGGCGGAAAACAATATGGCGCCAAGCAAGGGAGTGCTCATTAAACTAAACATCTCCGGGAGAAGTCATTGTCAATTTTTTCTCTTAAATGATCAACCTTAATATATAAATGAAAATAAAGACCAACTATTATCACCAAAAAAAAGACCAAACATTATCACAAATATTCAAAACAGGTGGTAATGAAAGAGCATTATCATCTTTCTCTTAAACTTTGTGGTGATATACTGGAAACAAGTGAAATGTTAAAAACGTGTTACCTTAGCCTTGCTCCTTTTATGTGATCCACAAAATTGCTGCCACCCAGTCTTCGAAGATGAGATTTCTGCAAATTCCATTAAAATAATCTTATTTCATAATTAAATGTTCCTTACATTAAAATTACTTCTTTTGTATGTAAGATTTTAACCTTTAAGAGACATGAATTATCATATCCCTTCCAAACAAGTGTAAGAATGAAAGTCTGTGGGTGCAGTTTTGTTAATTGTCCCATCAAAGAATCATTAGTGAAGTTACACTTTTTGTAAATAAATAAAAGTTCAAATAAATTATATACAATTTCATCCTTAACAAAGACTTTCACAAGACATTTTAAAGTGAAAATTTTCGTTGCATTTCCTTACGCCATTCTCCACCACCCCCTCCCCCCCAATAATATACATATGTTGATAGGGTTCAGGGCGTGCTCAATGCATCATTTACTGATAGATCTATTCAAATGAACAAATGTTCATAATAATGGGATGCAATATAAAATGTTGATTAATCCTATCCGATTTTGTATAGCTGCCCTTAGGGACCGTTCATAATGTATGGCTTTGGGGTGATGTTGATTTTTATGTACAATGTGAATTACACCGCCCCCCCCACCCCCACCCCCACCCCACCCCCACCCTAAAAGTGTATGAGTATGTACAGAATAAGAGACGGCCCACCCTGCATGTCATGTACATTATCTATGACGCCCTCTCCCCTTCCCATAATTTCTAAACATAGTGCGTGTGTACAAAATGCTGACCCATTAGCTCCCTGAACAAAATGGGTGACACCCCACCCCACCCTCCAACCCTTACAATCAACACCACCACCCGCAGCCATATATTTAATTATGAACGGTTCCTTATATTGATGTACTTCATTGATTATTTGAAAATGTATATTTGCAAAATTCAAATCAGGTGATGGGTACGAAAGGAAATCTTATTCGATTATATAATAAATTATATATGCATGCAAATATATTGAAAAATAACAAAACAAAATTTTGAGAAACATGTACTGTGACATACCGGTAACCTTGTGAGATAAAACATGAGCCCTAATTCGGAGTTTCTTGCTACTGCTAGATTTAAACGGCATTCCTACGTTTTCATTATACATGAAGGACATACTTACCAAATAAACACCAGCATGCCGTGAAGATGGTGAAAATAGAACGATATTGCGTTGAACTTCGCCAAAGTGAACTGACAACGATCAGCTGCCTTTGCGCGCGCGATAATTGTGCGCATGTCCGGATATGGCCAAACGAGGCGATCGAAAGGTCAACATCTGGCTTGTGTTTGAAACAAATTGTCGGGAATTATACAATTTTCACAGTTTTGTGGGAAAATATCAAATGTAATGCAATTTGGATAACTGATGACTTTATACCTAAAACTGCGATTTACGTAATATTTCCGTCCGTGGATCGATGCACAATCAAATAATATATAAGATTATATCTGTCACTAGCTCGATCTTGATCTTTTATGAAAATAATGTTCCGAAATGATAGTTGCTAAGTTGGATACCTATTACCAATATGAATTATGTATCAAATTTGCCAAGGAAACAATTAGTTGACATTTTGTTGGTTCCTTACGTTGAAACAACGTTGACAACTAAACGAATCTCGACTAACTTTCTTTGGTCGCATGATAAACGTTGAATCAACGTTTATGAAAGGTTGATCAACCAAACAACCAAAATTCAACGTTGATTCAACGTTGATTCAACGTTAATGTGCCCGCTGGGACGTGACCGGACTTTTCTTTTGTTTATAATCAAACGCGCATATTCATAATAAGAAAAGACTGGACTCACGAAA